TATATATATATATATATATATATTACTACACACACACATATATACATATATATATATATATATATATACACATACATATATATATTTAATAAGGTAAAATAACCCGGTTCTTGTATATACATTTCTCACCTCGCATATATGGAACCCCCAAATCCATCTAAAATATCAGCAATTACGCAATCTTATACTTTCTAAGGGGAAACCTCCTCTGTTTAGGTCTTAACTTACCTCCATCCAAGCCAAGTTGTTGTTTTATGACCGTTTTTCCATGGCACAATCTCCTCCAAATGACTCTGATCTGTTTAGATGAATAATTAACAAAATTAGACAATCCATTGGACTTAATTCCATAATTTGAATGGGGGGCAAAATCAAAACCCCCAAATTAAATACATCCCGTGTCAGCCATAAGTCGTAGAGTCCAATTAGGTAATTGGATTTTGAATTGGAGTCCATTAACTCCCTCGATTCCCTAATTTCTATTTTAGGAGCCTTAGTCTTACATCCCTATTTTCCACCGTTAAATTTCATGTTTTAATGGTTTAACTTCATATAAAAGTGTTGAGTAGTGGTCAAAGCGATATAATTGCAACTATTAAGAAAATCCATTCTCTGGAGTTTTCTCGAAAGAGCTTCAATGCTACATATGTGGCTCTTATCCCTAAAAAGAATAAAGCCAAGGATTAAAGGGAGTTCGGGAGATATCTTTAAATTTATATCTAGCTAAAAAGAGTGATACACAAACTCGTAGATTCATACCAGAAGCTAAAAAGAGTGATACACAAACTCGTAGATTCATACCAGATGACCCTTTTAAAAGGTAGGCAAAACACATATGCTTTCCTAATTGCTAATGAAAGTACATATTCCAATATCAAGGAGCAGATTCCTCGAATAATGTGCAAACTTGACATCGTGTGAACTGGACTTTCTATCCCATACTCTTCCTAAACTGGATTTTGGGAAGGAAATGGGTGAGTTGGATCAGATTCTGTGTTAGCATAGTCAAGTTCTCCATCTTAATCAATGGTTATCCTGCATGTATTTTCCCCTCTCAAAGGGGATTGATATAGGGCAACCCATTCTCCCCTTTTTTTTCTATTCATACTAGCTAGGCCCCTAGGGAGTATTTTAACATTATGATCAAAATTGTTAATGGCAATGAATGAATTAGGGAGGTTGAATATATGAAACAATCTAATTACCAGGTTGGAGGTAACTCACCTTCAGTATACAGACGATACACTTAATATTTTGTGTTGCAAATATAAAGCCTAGTCTAAGTATTTAATAGTTATTTTGAATCTTGTTTGAAGCTATCTTTGGGCTACACATTAACCAAAGGAAGAGTTGCATTTTCCTTGTTAATGAGGGGCAAACATGCAAAACAACTAACAAACACTGGGAGGGAAGATTCAAACTATAATAGTTGTTAGAAATCATAATAGGAATAGGATTACAAATATTGTCCTATGTGAAAAATGATTGTAATGTAATGTATCCTAATAATATTTCTAGAGTCTCAAGAGAGGTTTTATAGAGATACTTGGAGTAAAAAGATCCATTTGTGGCATGCACTAGAGTGATATAGAATTTGCACGAAGTCAAAACCTGAGCGAACAATAGGAGGAGACTCTGAACATGTTTATATTTGCCTTGTTGATGGTTGAATTGAAAAGGCATATTCACGAGGAGGTGCAATGGTGTATGGAATTTGCAGAACATAGTATTGACTAATGAAACACAAGGGTGGAGATAACGATAGATGGGGGTTTGGATATAGACCCTATAGTTCAATGGCTTGAAGTTGAGAAAGACTAAGACAAAGTGCAAGTTCAGTGACGCAACACATGAAATGGGTACAAAAGTGAGGATTAATTCGCAAGTCATCCCCAAGAGAGGATGCCTCAAGTGTCTTGAGTTAATAATTCAAGGAAATGGGGAGATAGATGATGTGTTTTTGCATATTGTGTTAGAGTGGGATGGATGAAATGAGAACTCACATCCAGTGTCCTATGTGATAAGAGGTCCCTCCAAGACATAAAGTTAAGTTTTACAGAGTAGTTGTAAAACTGACTATGTTATTAGGGTAGAGTGTTGGCCTGCCAAAAACTCACATGTTTCATATAATGAATGAATTGAAGAATTTAATTTTTTTAAATGTTAAGTTAAATTACTTTTGATGTTAAGTTCAAAGCTAGTGAGGCCAGGAGCGTGGGAAAGGAGGTGCACAACCTGTACGATGCAGTTCAACCTAGTATCTTGGAATGTTAGGGGAATAAATGATGGGGGAAAAGAAGAGTGGTGAAGAGTCTCTGATCACAGCCCAATACAATTAGAATGTGGGAACTGGGAACATAGGCAATCCTATTTTAAATTTGAAAACTGGTGGCTCAAAGTGGATGGTTTCAAGGAGATGGTGCAGGGGTGGTGGAGTGGCTTTGTTGTAGAAGGGTGCCCTGACTACAGACTTAGCAACAAGCTACAGATGCTGATACAAAAGTCGAAAGAATGGAGCAAACAAACCTTCTGTTCCAACTCAAGCATTGCTTGCAAAACATGATGCAACAAATAGTTGATCCTCCTCTAGTTCATTACAACTCGAGCATCTACATCCTTCTGCTGAGTTTTGTTCTTACAAATGATTGCTTCATGCCCAAACTGATTGCACTTACTGCACTTAGCTTCAAGCCTTCTCCAACACTTGAAAGGTGCGTGTCCGATCTTGTCGCAATGCTTACAAGGAGGGTAGTTTCCTTTGAAGCTACCTGTTTTGTTTTTGTTGTTGCAAGATGCACCTTCTCCATATGTTGATTGGTATTTCTTGTTCTTCTTTTTCTTATATCGTCCATTATCTTGATGCTTGGCAGGTAAAGCTCCTTCAACAACTCCTTGTCTCATAACATGTCGTTGCTCTTGTGCTTAAAAGGCACTTAAAAGCTCTGTTAGTGTAATACTGGACAAGTCCTTAGTATTTTCTAAGGTTGTAATGGTCGCCTCAAATCTTTCAGGTACCGTTCAAGGATTCTCTCAACGATCCTTGAATCATTAAAAGTGGAACCCAACGATCTGACATGATTGGCAATGTCAAGAAATCGGTCATTGTATTCCTTTATGGTTTCACTGTCCTTCATCTTTTGCAGCTCAAACTCACGTACTAAATTCAACACTTGCATCCCTCGAATTCTCTCATCTCCTTCATACTCAGCCTTAATCCCATACCTCTT